ACTATTGTTCAACCCACGGAACCACCTATTGGCTACGAACTTCGTGGGGTGAAGGTCCCATTATGCCGCTCACGCGACCCTTACGTGCCGTTTTTCTTACGCACTCTTATTTTTGGTCCTTGCGAGAGTCTTTTTGGCCTCCTCAAGGGCCGACCTAAAGACTCCGCATCCACCACTGCCTTCGATATGGTTTGCGGCGACAAGGTTGACTTGTCGCCGCACTCTTCCTTGCATAAGAAGCTAGTTGGGCTGATTTTGCAAGACGCAGACCTATGACCAACCTCACCGCACTTAAAGCACGCAGCCGATCTGTCCACCGCCTTACAACCTCTTCGTATGTGGCCGTATCCCAGGCATCTATTGCATCTATTGCAGCTGACGACCCTTCGATCCGCCATCTGTACCTTACCAAGCTTTCTACAATTCTTGTCACCTCCTCAGTGAACTTCTCCTTACCTTCTGATCCTTCTATTTTTATAAGAAGGTCACCTTTCTTTGTAGGTCTTGCTCCTACCACATTTGTCTGTCTGGCGTCAGGTTTGGATTCTTTTTTAATTTTTCCCAATACATCAGCAAAACTAAATCCCTTGGCCACCTTGACAATCATTGTTGATTGTCGCGGTAACCTTGGTACAATCCTGTCTCTTCTGCGTCTTCGGTCCTGCCGTGCCTCTTCTGCCCAGACTCTTCTATCAACTCTGTCCAAGACTATTCTTGGTACAAATAAAGCGTTGTTGCCCTCCTGTATCCTTAGGCCACTGTGCACCGCCCCCGCGCTAGGCGGTTGACGGTCGGAACCAGTGAGGGATGTAGCCGAAGCATTACCCCGCAGGTACTCCTTATTTTCACAATTGCTCATTTTGGTCTTGCTGTTTGTCCCGTAACGAGAGACAATCGGTTATATGGGTGTGATATTAGCATTTTGTGAATATGTGTGCTGTAATTGGTGTAAAAGCGATAAAATTGTATGTAACCCATATGTGTGTAGAGAAGTGTAGGTGTATAGTGTACTGTTTAGTTGTCCTTTAGTGGAAAGCCCCGCCACCACTGCAAGGTCCACCGAACATATCCAAGATGCCAGTCGTGTCTGGCAGCGAAACCACTTTTCCCATCACATCAAAGAAATCAGTCGTGTCTGGCAGAGGACCCACTTCTCCCAGCCTATCAAAGAAATCAATGTCAGTTCGGCAGTGGATCCACTTTTCCCAGCACATCAAAGAAATCAATGACATTTGACAGTGGGCCCGCTTCGCCCAACACATCAAAGACATCAATGATGTCCGGCAGTGGACAACCAGCGGCGGAGATTATTGTATTATTTAATAAATATTATAATAATTTTATTAATTTTGTTGATTAACTCATTGTTTAAATATTTATTGTTTATAAAATGTTTAAAATTATTATTACTAATATTATTATCAATAAAATGAATGGTTTTGATTGATTTATAACTAATTTAGTGAATATTCGGATTATTAGTTTTATTATTTAATAGTTAGTTAATAATTTATTTAATTTGGTAATTAACATTTATTTAATTTTTAGGTTATGAACAATTATTTTGAAATACTCTATTAATTAATAAAACCAATAGCTAAATTTATTATTTCGTTATTACTGATAAGATGTTAATTATTTATTGCTCAATAATTATTGTTAATTAACATTTGTTAATTAATAGTTGATTTATAGTTTCCATTTGTTATTATTTAATGATTTGGTTAAAATATTTTAATTAGTTTATAATAATAAATTTGTAGTAATTATTTATACACAATAATTTTTTAACAATTAATAATTTTTAACGTTGTTAATAATTAATTTTGAATACTAAAAATAAAATATATGGAAATTATATATTGCAAGTTAGAATTTTGAGTATATATATATATATATATATATATATATATATATATATATCTTATTTAGGGTACTTATCGTTTTTAGACTGAAGTGTTGATTTTTGGGATTGGATAAATTTATGGTGTTATAAATTTTTTGATTATTTCTATTTAAAAGAGATTGTAGAAAACTCGAAAATATTGATTTTAGGGATTAAGATTTTGAACTTGAGAGAAAATTTTATCACTCATAAATTTTATCCAGTCCCAAGAATTTTAACATCTGGGAAAATTAAATAAAAGGAAAATGAAAAGAAAAACGAAGAAAGATACAGAAATTAAATGTAGATATGAAACTAAAAACATTGGTTAGAATTCACAGGATATAACAGAATTTACATAAATTATTTAGGGGAGAGTGGGGCAAAGGCGCTATGCGGGGCAAAGATGTTTTTTAAAATATCTCCTTTATTTTCTGTCTATTCCAATTGGTATTAAAAATTAAGTTGCAATGCAATCAGACCAATTGATTAAAAAAAGAAAAACCAAAAAATATCAAATATTTTAAGAAATATAACAAAAAAATTGTTTTGCAAAAATAAAATGATAATTTTACTGAACAAACTTTTATTTTTTAAAACATAAGTTTAAGTATTTAATTTTTAAAAACGTAACATGTAAATAAATAAATATTTCTCTACACAACTAGCGTGGTGTTTTAGTTTAATTTTGTATCTAAATATTTTAAATTTAAAGTAAAAAAAAAGTTTGTTATGTAGGGCAAAGGCAATATTAAACATAATTTGGTTAAAAACAATTAAATATTCCCATTTTCTCCTTATTAATTCACAATATAAGGTTAAAATCACTAAAAGTTTTTATTTTTTATTTAAATAGTTTAATTCTTTTAATAATATGTTGTTAACCTTATGTTTCGTTTTTAAGGCTTATAAATGCTTTCTTTTAGAAATATAAGCGAAATCGTCGCTGCCCCAGCGTGTGGGGCAAAGGCATTTTTGCATTGTTTTTAAATTTCATTAAATAATGTATTTATAATTATAAGATACTAAATAACAACTATTAAAATTTCTTGTTGATTAGTTTTAGAATAATGAAAAACAAAGACCGCATAAATTAATTGGTTAATTTAAAAAATATACATCGATAAATGTAAACCTAGCGCCTTTGCCCCACTCTCCCCTATTTAATTAAAATTCAATCATGTTCGCTATTTTTTTCGTGAAATCTACTCACGAGACTATATAAAATAAGCAAAACTGTAGTCCAATAGGCCAAGAATAGTGAAAACCCAGGGGGGATACACACTTTTTTTCTAAATAAAAAAAATTTCTAGTTTTTCGCTAAAAAAATATGAATATGAACTCCAATAATTTATTCTGTATTTTTTCTGTAATCTACACGTGAAAATAATTAAAAAATACCTAACGCCAGTCAACTAAACTATGAATTGGGAGAACTAGCATAGGTATAATTATTATCAAAAATTGAAAAAAAAAATTTAGGTTTCAGCTCAAAACGCAATGAAGATCAATTCTAATCATTTCTACTATATTTTTCCTGTAATCTACACGTAAAAATAGAAAAGTGTACCAATTTACAGCTCTCTAGGTAAAAAACTGTGAGCGCTAGGGTGAAATACACGCTTTTTTGGCGAAATTTTTAAAAACTTTGAGTTTTTCGCTGAAAAAAATATGAAGATCAAATCCAATCATGTTCGCTATATTCTTCCTGAAATCTACTCACGAAACTACATTAAATAAGCAAAACTGCACTATTATTTCTAAAATGAATTTTTTTTAGTTTTTCGAAAAAAATATGAAGATGAACTCCAATAATTTTTTCTGTACGTTGGTTGAAATCTACACGTAAGAATAAATTTAAAAATCTATAACGCCAGTCCACTAGATTAAGAATTGTGAGAACCAGCAAGGGTTAAAGAATTTTCGAGCTTGCAAATGAAGATCAATTCTAATCACTTCCGCTATATTTTTCCTGTAATCTACGCAAAAAAAATACATAAGTATGCCAATTTTCAGCTCTCTAGGTAAAAAACTAGGCGCCAGGGGAAGGTACATGCATTTTTTTTATCAATTTCCACCACGATTATACTCGGGTTAAACCGTAGGGAGGTTAACTATATGCGACTTTTAATTTTATTAAATTAAGAAGACATTAATTATTATCAATTTTTAATTCAAAATAAAATTTTATAAATTAACTAAAAAATGTAGTCAACTATTATATTAAACATCAACAAACTTCTAATCAAGCAAATATTATTTATTTAAATGTATTTGAAAAAGAATTTTGTTTTTATTGTTTTGAAAATAATGTCCAAATAAAAAATTCCTAGAATCTCGGTACTTTCGCTCGAATAACGATAATATCGTTCGAAAAACAAGACTTATTCTCATATCGTTTTTTTGACATAATATAAAGTCAAATATCGATCGTTTTTTGTATCGTGTCGATCGAATGCATCACTAAGTAGTTAAATATGAAGATAGATGTTTTGAAGTAGGTCAAGAATTACAAGCAGCTTCTAATATTTTTCATAAAATACCGACTATTGACGATGAACCTATTTATATTAAACAATATAAAATCCCTATTTCACTTCAACCAGAACTTGAAAAACAGTTGGACATTATGAATATGTTCGGATGCTCTTCGGCTTAAAGAATGCTCCACCCACTTTTCAAAGATTCATTGATGAAACATTCAAAGGTTTGCAGGGAAAAACTATTTTTATTTTTATTGACGATATAATAATATTTGCAGACACTTTAGAGGAACATGAGGAAAAACTCACTTTAGTTGTGGAATGTTTAAAAAAATCAAATTTGTAATTAAATCTAGATAAATGCGAATTCCTTAAAAACAATCTCAGCTATTTGGGACATTTAATTAGTAAAAATGGAATAATGTCAGATCCGCGTAAAGTATGTAGAATCTGTCATGAAATTTCCGACTCCTAAATCAGTTAAGAATGTTTGACAATTTTTAGGTCTAGCAGGATGATATTAAAGTCGGTTTATTCCTAACTTTTCACAAATTGCAAAACCCTTGAGTAATTTATTACGTAAAGATGCGAAATTTCAGTGGGACGAAAAAGATATTAATGCTTTCAAAATTTTACAAGCTTGTTAAGCTTGTTAAAGGATACTCATACATTTCCCACGATCGGAAACTCATAGAAATTAATGGATCCTTCTCAATAAATTTTAATAATTTAATTTTATTACCGTCAGATGGTAAAATATATGGTACTAACCATTCAATTTTATTAATTGTGATTTTAAATTCTTCATTATTGTCAAGATTTCCTGTTTGAATAACAGCATTTAAATCACTTCTTGATCTTATCAAAATGAGTTCATGTTTAGCATTTACAACAATTTTCTTATAATCTTCTGCAAAACCGAAAATCATACTGAGTGAAATTGTCACATTAAAATAACCATTTTCTATATTCATTTTTAAATCCAAAGCAGAATATTCAAAGACACCTGCATTTCCAACACGCATAAGTTGAGAAGGAGTTAGGGAAAGCAAGTTTTTTATTGTTGAAGTATGACCGACATATTTGCATCTATCAATCTCGATACCATTTAATTCATAACGAATTTCATCAAATAAGTGAGCTATAGCATTATTAATAAGAGCAACATTTTCTGTTAAAGTCTCTCCATTATTCTTCGTCATACGTCCAAATATATGTAAAGAACTACTGCTGGTAAAATAGATAAATCTTGATTTTGAACCATAATCCGAATTTCATCACTATTGTTAAAAGATGATGATGCATATGGTTGATGACTATGATTTTCATAACTAGCTATAGATTCATCAAAGTTCACTGGAGCTGGAATGCTGAGAATTTCGTCCATTTTTCTTATAACAACGACACAAATGAATATAAAGAATTTATCACCTCTCTTTTTCTTTATTTTTGATGTCTGATCCGTAGACCAAGTTTCTTTAGAAATATTTGATTCTGAGGTGTTAACACCTTGCGAGTTATATTCATACTGTTCTTCTTCACACATGTTGCTTGACTTTTATAAATACCCCCAATTTTTCTTTTTTTATTGTAAATAATTCCTATTATACTGATTTTATATGTAAATGTATTGTTATTGTCTCTCCTCTAAAATTAACTAATTTACCATTCTGATCAACTAAACGCAGCTGAAGATTATGTTTTGTCTTTACGGTGACTGGAAGCTAAATTACATTATTTGGAACTTCTATAATCTTATATCCTGTAGGAACAGAAGGAAAAAATTGATGTATGGTATGTACTTTTCATAACGCAATCATAAAAATGGCGTTATTTGTCCCTCTGTAGGTGAACGTAAAGTGAGTGTTTTTAGTACGTAGTTACGAAAATACTGCGAATGACAGTTCAGTTCAAAAAAGAGCTTTGTTTGTCCTTGTTCGAGTATTTTCGTAACGCTCGTGTAGTTGCAATTCCGTCCAGTAGAGGCGTAATTAAGTATTCGTTCAGTTATCTATGTTTACTGTGACTTACAGCTGCAACGCAGCGTCTCTCAAATCCCGAGAGTTTCTAACCTTCTTTTTCGAGATCGCTCGCTCGTGTTGAAAATTGTTGAATCTGAATTTTAATTTGTTATTATTAAAGTATATAAAGTGTTTTGAAAAAATGTCGAGTGATGAAGAAGAAATGTGTACGCCGCCAGAATTGAGAGAAAAGGCTGAAGAAATTTCATCTGATTTATTGCCGAAACAATCGAAAGATGTCTACTTGGAAACTTATCGAAAGTTCGTTGAGTGGAAAACCGAAAAAAACGCCATTACATCGGAGAACTGCTTGAAGGTTTATTTTAAAGATCTCATGCAAAAATTCAAGCCAACTATCGTATGGTCAATATATTCGAAACTCAAGAGCACAATTCAAATAAAGGAAAAAATTTCAATAGCCGAATATAAAGAGTTAAGTGCACTTTTAAGCCAAAATTCACGGGGATACAAGGGAAAAAAAGCCAAGGTCTTTACATCAGATGAGATTAACACATTTTCACAAACTGCTCCCGATGAGACTTACTTGGCGATGAAGGTAAGAAACGATTTACTGTTTGAGAATGTAAAACAAAACATGAAAATAATTGAATTCTTTCGAGAAATTTTATTATAATTATATTGAAAATTATTGAATTCTCATGAAGAATTTTATTATTTATGAAAAAATTGAATTCTTGTCAAGAATGTTATTAAAATTTTTGAAAATAATTGAATTATTTTGAAATTTCTTTTAAAATAATGGTTTCTTTAATAATATTTAATTGAAATTTTTTTTTAAATAACTGAATCTTATGACGAATTTTTTTTAAAGTTTTTAAAGCAATCGTGTTTGTTAATAATTTTAATTAAACATTTTGATTATTGAATCTTATTAATATTATTATAAAGTAATAAAATATTCTTGTTAAAATTTTATTAAAAGAGTGAAAATAATTCGATTTTTCTAAATAATTTAAATAATTTTTTGAATTAAAATATACGAATATGTTTCTATTTTTAGGTCATTTTGGTTTTTGGGATCAGCGGTTGTTGTCGTAAGTGTGAGCTACATTCAGTTAAAGTAAATCATTTAAAAAGTAATTTGAAGTAATTGTGCCAGACACAAAAAACAAAGTTCAGAGGAGATTTGTAATTGATCCGCAATTCGTCCCTATTGTGGAAAAATACCAAGCCCTTCGTCCTCCGAAAGCGGATAGAGAAAACTTTTTTCTACAGTTTCATCGAGGAAAATGTAGCGTCCAAGTTATTGGAATAAACACTATCGGAAGCGTGCCAAAGAAAATTGCGCAATTTTTGAAACTAGATAATCCCGAGGAGTATACCGGCCATTCATTTCGGCGCTCCTCTGCCACAGTTTACGCGGATGCAGGAGCTAGTACGATGGACCTACAACGGCTTGGGGGCTGGAAGTCAGCAACAGTCGCCCAAAGCTATGTCGAAGAATCGACCGAATTCAAAAAAATGACAGCGAAAAGGATTTCTACTGCAATAGTCGGACCTGTAATTGAAAAATCGTCTGCATTTGAAATGACTCCCGCAAAGAAAGTCAAAATTACTACGTCTCAAAATATTACTGTAAAAGAATCGTCGCCTAAAAAATCTATTGTCTTCAATAATTACAGCAACGTTACAATTAATTACCATAAATAAAAAACACTTTCTCTAATTTAAAATATATTATTTTAAGACTGAAAAATGTGATAAAGTATTCGAGTAATTTACTAAATTAAGTAAAATAAGAGATTAGAATAATATCAAGATACAATATTGCGTTAAGTCTGAAACATGTGATAAAATAAACTGTTCTAATTTAATAAAAAAAAATGTTTATTAATATATAAATAACCAACATTTTCCCTTAATTTTTTAGTGCACACTAAAGAAATACCTAGTTGATTATTACTATTTTGATTTATGTCGAGATCGCTTGTGTGAAAAATTCTGTTTTTATTCTTTAATGATATTATTTTTATTAATACGTCGAAGTATACGACTAGGTTTCGGGGGGCTTCGCCCCCCGACGCGACCGGTTGCTTGAGGTATTATAAAATGCGATTCTTTGAAATGTCGAAAATCATTATTATTATTCTTTTGAGTTGGTTTTTTTGTGGTCGGGGGGCGCGCGATCAGCTAGTAAGTACGCTTGACAGTGGTTCTGCTTTCCGAATCTTATGTATGCGTTTCTCAACATTCTTTTCAGTTATATTTGAATTGTTATAATCTGAATTGTTTTTAAGTGTCAATGCCTTTTTATGATGTTGTTATGAAAAGTATCGTGCGCAACACGTGTGGCGGCATTTTGGAACTCGCGCTTCTTTTTCGTAACTCGTCTCCGGTGAGGGCGCCTTCGGCGCTCTCACCTACGACTCGTTACGAAAACTTAGCGCTCGTTCCAAAAAGGCCGCTAGTTCACACTTGTTACGCAATGTACTATTCTCTTCATTAATATATTATCCTGTGGTAATATTACACTCAACACGTATAGCATTCACTCTTATTATAGATAAAAGTGAATCAGAATTATGTTGTGCAGGTCCTCCAAGACGTCCAGGTCCTTCAAAAAATCTGTCAGAAAATTTAAATATATCTTCCATAGTACCATATTTTGTGAAGTCAATATAAGTATTACTTATAAACTTACAACGTAATGTATTTTTATCAACAATCACTTTTAAAAAAATTTCTTTACCTACTCTAGAATTAATATGATTTACAATATCTTCAATTTCATAACTACCTGTAGGTATTGTCATAACGTAATCACTTATATAAAACTTATTACAACCTTCATCAACGTTGGGTATTGAGTTATATGTAAGAAGTTCAACAAGACCAAGTACATAATTTTTGTAAGAAGTTCAACAAGGCCAAGTACATAATTTTTGTTAGGTGATAGTTCAATTGGTGGAAAGTATGAAGCCTCAAGGGTTGAAGTATCCCCCGAAAACGTGAGAGTAATAGAATAATTCATGTTGAGCGTCTAGTTGTATACTGAAGCTTGAAATTTTTTACACATTCTTATATAGAATAAAGTTATTCTTCACTATAAGTTGATTACACAGAAATTTAAGACATAAATGTCCACATAAAAATGTATCAAAGTCTTGATATCTATTATGATTATATTTTGTACAGCTACCAACACCTAGGTAAACAGTTAGATCCAATGGCGGTGAAAGATTGCCAAAGCTGTCAAAATATTCGGTTTCATTGTTTACCTTTTTATATGCAACCCAATGAGTTCCAGGACCTTCTTTATTATCTAGATTTATTATTGCTGATTCATATTGAAATGGCCCTCCTATGGGTAATTCATTTCTCATAAAGACTCCTCTAAAATATGATATTTTTAAACTTTTAGAATATTTTAGAAGATTATAATCACTTAGTACACGGTGAGGTAGCTTCAATATTAGTTTTTTGATATTTTTTTCTTATTATATAATCCTTTATCTTTGTAAGGTTGCATATAAAGGCCAAGTCCTTGTTGATATGGTTTCATGTATAAACCTTTTCCTAAAGCAATGGATTCCATGGTATGATTATATCGTTGAACTTCTGAAAGTTCTTTCTTAGCAACATTAGCTTCATTTACAGCTTTCACTATACCGCTAATTCCACCACTAAGCGCCCCTAAATCACTCAGTCCAGCAAAAATTGGAACAAGAGGATTTACCGCCATACTGTTTTATAGCCTTTGTTGCACCAATCATAGCAGTTCTAATTGTATCTAAAGAGTTGTTATTAGATTTAATAGACTTTTTAGCAGCATTAACAATTTTCTTTAAAATAACATGTTTTTTAGAAACAACCTTCTTTCTCTTCTTCTTCTTTGATTTCTTTGTTTTAATATTTTTATATTTTTTATCAACTTTTCTCCACATCCCAAATTTAGACTTGGCTTTCATTATATTAGTTACAGCTAATGCAACTGCTTTTTCGCTTAATTTAGCGTCTTTAGAAACAACCCGTTCCCACGCCTTCTCAGCAAGTATTTTATCTGCAGAATTTCTTACAGCCACGTCTTTATCTTTTGTATAAGCTATATCATGATTTTTACAAGCTGCATCTAAAGGGTTTATACCAGAATCACCACGTGCAAGACGTTTTGCCAACTTCGTACCAGGTCCACAATATTGATAACCTGGGAAATGAAACTC